GTTAGACAAATCCTTACTCACTACCACCGCTTCTGGCTCCAGGAAAAGCAGGGAAATTTGCAGACAGAAAATGAAGTGGGCATTTTAGGAAGCACTGAGTATTGGGTACTGGAAAGAGAGTCAATTTAAAGAAGTACATACATTAACACAGACTGATTTTTATACCCTCTCCTAGCCAGGGAGTCAGTAGATCCAACTCCTGAAAAGTAGCTCTTCAGTAGCTCTTCTGGGCATGGAACAGTGGGGGTGGGGGTGGGGTATTTGTGAATTTCCTGCATTGGGCAAGGAGTTGGATTAGATGGCCCTGGAGGTCCCTTCCAACTCTATGATTCTATGACTCTAGTATTAGTAGCACAAAAGGAAGGATTTCACCAGTAGGGCAGTCTCCTTCACAGTGCTGCATAATGGGAGAAGCTCTTCCCTTTTTATATCATCATTAAAGGCACTTCCTGTATGCAAAGTAGGGGTGCCCTGTCTTTCAACTTTGGGACTCCTGTCCCTTTAATAAACAGCAGTGCAGCCACGGAGGGGTCAGAGAAGAGCCAATGAAGCCCTTTTCTACTTTTTTAAAGAAAAGATCCCATCCACTGTCATTGCCATTGGTTTTAGTTTGCTTCAGCTTTAGGTAATCAAAGGACAGGAAGGAGAAGCTGGAAGTCTTCCCCAAGCCCACCTCGTTGATGCTCTTGTGGACCCGGGCATCCATGTCGTAGCGCTCCTCGTCCACCTTGTCGATCCGCGCATGGAGCTCTCGGCACATCTCCTGCATATAAGAAGGTGAACGCTGAACAGAACTTAAAGTGTGCCAGGGTCACGCGTGTGTTTAGAAGCAGTAATGAGGAAGTGTGTCCTCTGAGCATGTGCAAAGTGTCTCTTGCTGCAGCATATATACACCAACTGGGCTTCTTAATCAAAAGGGTGTGATGGGGGGGGGAAGTCTAACCCCAGACAACTTGCTTTTTTTCAAGCAGATTATTCCCAACCTGTCCCAGGGTGGGGTGGGGAAGTCACTCTGCATTTCCATTCTATTTGTCCTCTGTAATAACTCGGTGAATTTGCAACATTTCAGGATTGGTGCACCTGTAGCTGTATGCACTTTTCAGCTTGTTTCTCTTGTTTCAGCTTGTTTTCAGCTTGTTTCTCTTGGATCATTTCCACAGGAGTGAAATTCCCCACACTGATGTTTTTAAAACTGTGTTATGTGAAATTTTCCGCAGTAGATTTTTCCTCACCAGGCACAAAGCCAAAGTTTTCTCCTTCTTATTCTTCTTACCCCGCATTTTTGGAACTTGCTAACTGGGGATTCCGAAAATGCGGGGTAAGAAGAATAAGAAGGAGAAAACTTCAGGTTTGCGCCTAGTGAGGAAAAATCTACTGTGGACAGTTTCACATAATGTGCTGTTTTAAAAACATCATTGTGGGGAATCTCACTCCTGCAGAAATGGTCCCTCTCTTTTCCTTACATATCACCTATGTTAACCATCGCATAGGCGCATTGATTAAATCATCTCACAAAAAGAAATCTTGATGTTGCCATGCAATCACATCCCACATCATTCTTTTTGGCCCTTCACCAGCCGTCCCTTCTTAACATTAACTCCGTCTTCACCAAGTCATTCTTTTCCCAGCTAACTCATATTCATAGATGGAGTACACAGTTTAAGTTCTCTTTTTATATTACATCTGTCTTCCTCCACTGTTACTCTTTTTTTGCTTCTGCCTTCACCTGTAGCTACTCCTTTTATATTTGATCTGTCTTCATCCTGATCCCCATCCTTGGCCCAGTCCCATTTTCCAGCCACCCACCCACAGTTACCTGCAGCCCTGCGAGATCCAGGCCTGTCCAGTCCAGGGGAGCACAGTGCTCTGCAAGGTATCGCTCTTTCTCCCGCGCATGCTCCTCTTCTTCCTTTTCCATTTCCTGCTTTGCCACCTGGAGCATCAGTGTCTGTTGTAAAGGGAGAATATATTAGATCACACCAGGGTTCCCCAGTGCAGTGCCCGTGGGTGCCATGGTGCCCATAGGCACTTGCCCCAGACGCCCGCCATGTGCTTCAGGAAAGTAGGCAGGCCATTAGGAAGGGAGTACCATAGACTGGAATGGCTACCTTCTTACAAGTAAAGGGGATTTTTCATCTTGGTCTTCTGTTTGTGTGTGTGGTGTTATCCCCCCCCTCTTGATCTTCTATGTGTGAATTATTCTTTCTGTCTCTATGTACTTGGGTCCTTGTCATCTTCTTTTCTCTTCATCTTCTTGTGTTTGTGTGTTTCTTGTGGGTGTGCTTGGCTTCTGCCTCCGGTGGCAGCCATTTTGTGGTGGTCCCTGTCACCCAGCCCTAAACAGTCTGATACCAGGCTCAGACCAATGACCTACCTAGTCTCTTGCCCGCCTCCAAACCAAGGAACTTGCCTGGTACCTGCTCCCCTCCCTGTTAAATCTCTGTTTCCCTGCCTGCTCTCCCCCCCACCCCCTGCCCACACACTTCATTTCTCTGCCATTACCTTGAGCTGCAGTTTCCGAGAAGCCGTTATCTTCGATTTTCTCTGTGGCGGAACAAAAGAAAACAGATGCTGGTCCTTCCAAAGTTATGAGACTAACAGCCCTTCCTGCTAAAGCACTCAGGGTTCCAGGCAGTGAAAGGCTCTTCCCAGCCCTGCTATTGGGGAGTATTTGAAGAGTCCAGGACCACCTGCATGCAAAGTGTGTGCACTGCCACTGAGCCCCGCCCACCAACAATGGATGCCATTCCAGGGAAGCTGACATGAAGCAAGGCATGATGGAGATAGCCCCATCCCATCGGCTGTCCCCAACGTTTGGTAATTAGAGGTAAATTGTCTCTGAACATGGAGGTTCCATTGTCAGTCATTCTTAGGGTCGCCAGCCTGTAAGTGTGGTGCTCCGCTGGCGCAGACTAGGAAGAACCCATCCCAAACACCAGAGGGAGTCCTCCAGCAGCTGTGACACTTTAGCATTACACTCTATGGCTACCATAGACTAGGGTTACAAAATGCTAGAGCGGCCACCATACTCCCCCCCCCCCCCCGCTGCTGGATCCTTCAAAAACAGGGGAGGGATTCTCAAAACAGGGGATCCCCACCCCCATCGGGGGGATGGCAACCCTAGTGTGGCCTGAAGATCCCCCGGAATTACACTTGGTCTCCAGACTATGGGGATCCCCAGCAGAAACTGGCAGCTTTGGAGGACAGACTCTATGACATCGCACCCCAGTTGCACGCCCTCCCTCCCCAAACTCCACCCTCCTTAGGCCCCACCGCCAAATTTCCAGGCATTTCTGAACTTGGAAAACCAACATACAACAAGTACCGTGCACAGATGATCATAACATATCATAAATAATTTTATATTTTTTGAAAAACATTTTTACAATAACTTCTACATATATAATAAATCATCCTAATCAAAAATATCAAAAACCATATCCAAGAATCTCAAAAGCTATTGTACAA